CAAAGCGCAATGGATTGTGTGTGTAACGGAGGCCAGCGAGTAGGTGCTGTGCAGGTAAACCTCACTCCCCTGATCTCAAGAGGCGCGCTAGAGGCTGCAGTCTTTAGCCTCCTTGTTAGTGCGTCCGCCTCCCATGCTGGAGACTCGGGTTTGAGACCCACTCGGAACAAGAACGAGGTGTGGCGGAGAGGACCCGGGAGAGAGGGGTTACATGTGTATTATTAGCCATTAGAGTGTGCACGGATCCACACTTCAAAAATCGACCTGAAATAGTAGACCATCCGGGGACTTTTGGCATACTCTTTTCAACATACTATGCTATGGGACACACTTATTCTAATGTCACATACTTATTAGGATGGATAGTATTAACATTGGGACGCAGGGTATCATTATACCATTACAAATGACAATGAGCGAGTCATTGAATCGTTCATCCAAGCGATTCATCCAAAACCACTGATTCATTCAGGAATCAAACAAGTGAGTTTCTTTATGAGCGAGTCATTTGCAACATTTTACGAACGAAATACGTCAGTTTAAGAATAAGTCAGAATAGGTTTTATGAAAACAGTAAGGCCATGCATTATTCCCAGCTGAAAAAACATCTTAACTAAGATGGTCTGAGCCGGTCTCTCAGCTTGACCTTGCTGGGCTGATGGCTGGTTTTGATGGAGTTTGGGCACTTTTTCAGATGGTCAGGCTAAACCAGCTAAACACTAGCTTGGCCAGGCTGGAAGACTGGCTTAATGTTCAATGTTCAATTTATTTATAAAGCACTTTTAAAACAACCTTAGTTTACCAAAGTGCTGTACACAATTACATTGACCCAATCACACAATAAAATAAACACATCATTAGAAAAACACAGTCACAAAACATTAAAAGCATGTGAAAAAACTTATTAAACTCAGACACTTTTAAACTCAGACACTGAAGCTGTTCTGATAGATAATGGCAAATTGTTCCATAGCTTGGGGCCAGCAACAGCAAAGGCTCTGTCACCCCTACATTTCAATCTAGATCTGGGAAGCAAAAGCAGATCTTAGTCTGTGATCTGAGTGATCTGGCTGGATTGTGTACAATAATCAACTCAGAGAGATATGGAGGAGCAAGGTTGTTTAGAGTTTTGCACACAAACAGCAGAATTTTTAACTGAAAGTGCTGTACACAATTACATTGACCCAATCACACAATAAAATACACATCATTAGAAAAACACAGTTACAAAACAATAAAAGCATGGGGGAAAAGATACGTTTAAAAAAAGACTTTTAAACTCAGACACTGAAGAAGCTGTCCCGATAGATAATGGCAAATTGTTCCATAGCTTGGGGCCAGCAACAGCAAAGGCTCTGTCACCCCTACATTTCAATCTAGATCTGGGAAGCAAAAGCAGATCTTAGTCTGTGATCTGAGTGATCTGGCTGGATTGTGTACAATAATCAACTCAGAGAGATATGGAGGAGCAAGGTTGTTTAGAGTTTTGCACACAAACAGCAGAATTTTTAACTGAATGCGATAATAAATCGGTAGCCAGTGCAATGAGCGTAAGATGTGATTCCATCTGCGGCTGCCTGTGAGCAAACGAGCAGCCACATTTTGGACCAGATGCAGTCGATGAATAGATGAGACAGGCAGCCCATAATATAGGCTTAAACTGGCTAAGACCAACTGTAATCAGTTAAAACCAGTAGTGAAGCACATCGTTTAGTATGGAAGTTAACAGCATTAGGCTGAGCTTTATGAAATCACAAATCACCTTTATTTTGCTCTTGACTAGGCGCTCCAACAGCAGAATGTCTTTGGGAGAATATGTGTTTAGATAAGGAAGAGCGCAGCTCCCTCCAATGGATTGTGAAGGAACTGCCTATAAATATTGGGGTTCTTATATAAGTAATAAATATTGTGTATTTAAAGATATGCTTCTTTAACAGCACAGCATCTCTAAAAGTGTGGAATGTGTATGGATTGTATAACAGCACTGAAAGACTTTGTATTTTCTCTTAGGCCTGTAGAAGAGAGCTGGGATAGTCACCAGTTCAGGACTATGACTCAGAGCATTATATAAGCATTATATAAAGAGCTTCCACAAATGCATCATAAATCAATCAGACTGGAATAATAATCATCAGGACATTTAAGAGCTCTCGTCCTCCAGAGTTTTCAAGAGCGACAGAAAACAAGTGCTGAAACCAAATTAAATAACATTAAACTGAAAATTTGATACAGTATGTAAATTGATTCACATGTTGCTGAACAGCATAAGCAAAGAATCTATTGAATATTTTAATTGTAATGATGCAGCTAAATGTCTAGTAATGTACAGATTTAGCATGCATTCAAAGGATATTGCTTTAGCGTGTAGGATGTTGCCTTGCATACTGGTGCAGCTATTTAGGCAATATATTAATTATTCAATTTATCTTCATTAATAAATGTATTACTCTTGTACTTTTTAAGGCTGACCCACAAGAGAAATGTTTAGCAATTTGTAGAATTTCTGTCGAGCACTTGTTTTCCACCAGATGGCAGTATTGTTCTTCATGTCTGTGATTTAGCATCATGACTGTTTACATTGGAATACTTGGGTCCCGCTTACTACACAGCAAATACCGTATACTGCCTAGAGTTCAGCGAGCAGCATTTACATGTCATCTTGGACATAATAATAATAATAATAATGAAAAAATACAGCTATTTTGGGGTTTAATACAAATTTGTATGAAAACGTCTTTTGGCAGACATTTATTGATTGATTGATTATTTATTTATATTATTTATTTATTTTCTCCTTTATATGTTTCATTTACTTATTTATTTTAATATTTTAATCTGCCTATTTACAGATCAAATTATTTGTTTATAAGTGACATATTTATGTATTCAGAATATTATATTTATGTTTTCAGAATATTAAAAAAATAATTGATTTATTTACTATCTATTTTTCCTCCTGTATATGTTTCATTTACTCATGGCTCATATCTTTACTTTTTCTATCATTTAATATTATTGTAGTTTATACTTTTGTAACACTTTACTTGAAGCCTTTATATTATAATGCATTATAAAAGTATTTTAATGCATTAGTTGTATCTTGTAATGCACATTATAATGTATTTAATAATTATAACCACATAATAATTAATACATTCATCTACTTATCTATTCACTGTTACACCTTCAGAAAATATATTTCTAAATAACATGACAAACAACCCATTTCAGATGTAACAAGGAATCTGCATATACAGTACTATAATGCGTTATTTACGAAAATATGTAATGCATTAATGTTCATTATAAATACCTTTGTAATGCATAATACATAAAGGCTTTAAGTAAGATGTTACCATTATTTCTTTTCTCACTTGACCGGTTCTGAGTGTTATCATGCATAAAAGTTGGTATATCATAATAAATATCTGTACATTTGGAAGATGGCATGGCATTTTGCGGTGCATTGACTAACTCTTACAAAAGCTCAGCAGACTGATCATCTCGACTGTGCTTTAATCACAAGGATTACAAAGGCAGCCTCAATCCCTTGAAGCACCAGCTCCTACAAACATGTTGTTTCTGCCGTTCATCCTTCAGTAAATGACCCTACAGTGATTGGACGGTTTGTGCTCTGGAATGACAGTGACCCACTTTCCTTTGTATGTCAATATTATGGCCCACAAGTGAAGTCTTTGTTTCTCAATAATCACTAATTCTTCATGTCTCACTGAAATACATTCATCACATGCTACAGGAGCACTGAACCATTAGAAAACAAGTGCACTGAAGCATGTCTTACACTACTGGGATGATTGAACTCTGTGAACACTGTGAGATGAGATTAAATGAGATCCGTTAGATCCGGACACTCAAGCAGATCGGATCACCAGGATGAGCCAAAGGGAGTGGAAGTGAACCCTGCGTTCCCGACAGATGTTCTGCTTCTGCTGCTGTGGAATGTTTTCAGTAATCTGGATGTTTGTAATCTGGTGTTTGTATGTTCATGCTGAAACCCCACTGTGTAATAACGAGGTCAAACCCTTTCAAAACACGATGACTGAAGTCATGAATGTGTGCTGTCATGTTAATTACATTCCTGTCATTTAGCACGCTTGTCTAGTGGTCAAATAAAGTTTGAAACCATTTGAACTCAACTATATTTTTTACAACAATTAAATATATAAATAAACAAATAACACAAAACAAAACAACTTAATGTGTTTAGTAATTCATTGCTGTAGATGTAACATTCATTGAAATTGTTTTAATGTATATTAATTTCCATCTAAAAATTAAAACACAAATAATAAATACTATTATGAGAACATTAAGTTTTTTTATTTAAATAATAATTCTTATTAGATTATCATGACTGTAATACAGTCATAATAATCATCCTGTACAGTCAAGAATTTTTTTTTAAATATAAATTTTTTTTTTTAAATAAATGTAGAACATAAAGTGCATAAATTAGTTAGAATTTAAATTCTTATACATTATATATTGTATAATAATTAATAATGACATAATTAATATATAATAATGAATTAATTATAAATAGCTAATTATAAAATATTTAATGCATATAAAATTAAAACTATAAGAATATTAATAAGAGGAAGGAATAAACAGAAAGCTAAAATATCTTGAAATTGTTGTCAGAATAGGAAAATTAACCATATGAACCATAATATAAAAAAAATACATTAGTTGTTTGCTAAATATGATATATATGAACATATCACAAACTGTATTGGATCAATCAAATAATATAGATGATGAATAGGCCAGTTTTAACCTTATCAATGCGAGGTCATTAACCTTCAAGAACGTACTGTATTCCCCAACACACCAGCAACATTCATATGTCTTTCACCCAGTTCTTCTATAGCATATGGCGCTATCACAATCCACCAATGAGAGGCTACGATGAGCAGGTTGATTAGCTGACGTCACGGGCGCAGAGAGGTTCGGAGGAGGCTCGTGCGCGAGAGCAATCCGTGTATTTGGGTGTCGTATAGGCCAGGGATGTGAGTTAGGGGCGACAATAATGGGGAATAACCGGGACCCCGGTGCTCTGGAGTGGACACAACGACTGGACGGTGATCATCAAGGGGGTTAACGTGAAGATCAGCCATCTCGAGAGTGTTTTACACAGATTCGCGAGCCTTGATGGATTTTATTGGGCTCAGTGATCAATTAATTGTCACCGGATACCAGATAAAGCGCATATAATCATACTGGATACGATTTATCCATTTCCATGGCGTTATCATCGACCCAGAGCCAAGCAGGTCACCTGGACCCAGGCCAGGACTAAAGCGGGCTCACAGGGTCTAAAGCGCTCGATCTGTCGTGTTTCCGGCGATGTCCGCGTCCTGCATCGATCTGCGCAGCGCGATTTCAGCACCACCGCAGCTGGACAGCGACCGCATGGACCGAGCGCTCGATCCCAGCCGTCAAAGCTCGCCAGACTCCGCCGGGGAATACCAGACCCTCACGCTGCTACACACCGCGCCCGGGGGGCTCGGCATGGCTCTGGAGGAGGAGCTGGCCATGCTTACCCGCGAACGGGAGGAGGATCTGGAGGTATCCGCCTCAGAGACACCTGTGAGCGGACAGGATTCTGACCTACTGTCGCTCTTCGGCAAAGCTCTACTTGAACGGAACCAAGACCTCACAAAGCAATATGACAAAATGACCAAGGATTTAAACGACAAACTGGAGGTGAGGAACTCTAAAACTATATTTGAGTCTATACACTGCCAACAGTTTGCATTTTAAGAAAGTCTTTGGGACTTTGTAGAAATTCTGCCATTGGATTCTTCAAGTTGGTTTCAACTTACTATAGATATTTCTGACACAGACATCAACTTTTGGTACACGAAATACGACTAGGGTAACAAATAACAGTTTTTGAATAAAAGCTAACGTATCCTGAGCTCACGGACAATAAGTTACTACTCCAAAAGATGATAAAAATCAACAACAACAATGTAAATAAAAATCCAGTCAAATGCAAACATAGTACGTTTTCATGCCCAGTGCGTTCTGGGAAGTTAGTGAATGGGACTGAATCGAGTATTTTTCATTGTATGACTATTTAAACAAACAAACAAAAATGCTGTGTTTGTTAGTTTAGAATATTGTATTATATATATATACAAACAAATATAAAGCAGTACAATAAATGGTAGAGTTTAAAAAAATTGATTATAATTCAAATTATATATTATTTATAATAATCTATAATACAATACTTTATTTATAATAATTAATTAAATTATAATTAATAAAAAAATGTAATCAGTATGTAACTGAATCAAGTTTTTTCATTTTAGGCCTATTTAATACAAACAAAACTGCTATGCTTGTTAGTTTGATTACAGTATGTATATATAATATATATAAAATAGATATAAAAAAAAGCATAAATTAAAGGCAGAACAACAAATGGCACAGTTGTATATATTGGATATAATTCAAATTATATATATAAAATTTACAATTTATTAATTTATAAAAAAAAAAGTTTATTTATAATAATTGAAAAGAACAACAACGGCATATCAGGATGCTTTGTGTTCCTGAAAATAAGAAAAATGAAAAGCAAAACCCCAAAATATCAATAATCAATTAAATCACAAAGCTTTATTTTTACGAGTGTAATTTAATACTCCAGAGCTGTGATTGATTTCACAGGCATGTGTTGTTTACATGGGTATGCAGTCAGTCTGCTTTTTAATTATTAATCAAGATGTATCATAATCACTTAAATGAGTCGAACACATTTAGTCTCCAACTGTTAGTCTCCAGTTTCTTCCTCATGCTGAAGAGTTCCCAGCTGCAGCTGTGCTCAAAACTGTTTCTAATTGTACAAAAATATGCATAAATCCTAAAAGCAAATGGTTTTTAAGACTCATATTAGGTTATAAACACTTTTATACAGTCATAAAAATAAAAAATCATGTCTATGACGATGAATGGCATGAGGAAACCACTAGAACCACAGCTAATGGCTGTTTGTCAAGACCCAAGCGTTTACTGTCACTGAATGTAGACTGTGTCAAGACGTTGAATCTGGTTCAGGTCTATATGGGCTCTTATGGTCGTTTCAGCAATGCTGCAAGCAAAGCTAATGTGCTTTGGCTCTCTTCACCCATCTGAGGGTCAGACGCTTCTCCATGCAACTCTCCCTCCTGCCCAGTTCACATCTTTGACTTAAACCTCTTGTCTTAATCCATGTCCGAGTTCGCTATTTTTTCTTTACTCACATTTTCAGACTAATTTGAGAAATCCTTCACCCTCTTACAAAAGCAAATAATCAGCACTGAAATGACTTCTAACAGTTAATTGCATTGATAGCCTTCACAGTGGATTTCATGGCTCTTAATCAGTGCCAGATTTCATTTTCTGCAATTATAGCAAGAGCTCTCAGAGGTGCCCGGGACTCAACCTGACTGACCCTTTATGACATGAGAACTCAGACCATGACATCTGGATGTCTGGCTATCATGGACTAGCATTGTACCATATTTATCCCTAGAGTAGTACCTTAACGGTATACATATTAGTACTTAAATGGTGCAGTTTAATACTTTTGTAAGGGTACAGCCCCAAGTGACACCATTTGTACTTTTTTTCTGAGAGTGCATGATCAAAATATAAGGCAACCAATCATATGCTGCTGTTTTACATGTCATTTGGGGGCGGGTTATTTAAATTAGTTGATGCCACAACAGTTTGCCAGCATGGAGAAAATTCAGATCATAGAACACAGAAATGTAATTTGAAATTCTGTCTATCCAAAAGTACTATATTTCACAAATATTCTTGTTTAATGAAAGTCTCTTATGCTTACTAAAGCGGCAATTATTTGATCTAAAATACAGTAAAAAATGTAAAATATTATTACGATTTAAAGTAACTGTTTTCTATTGTAATATCTTTAAAGGGGTCATATGATGCGATTTCAAGTTTTCCTTTCTCTTTGGAGTGTTACAAGCTGATTGTGCATAGATAAGATCCCTGAAGTTGCAAAGACTAAAGTCTCAAAACCAAAGAGATATTCTTTATCAAAGTTAAGACTCTGCCACGCCCCCCTAAAACGGCTCGTTCTGGGACTTTGTAGAAAACGAAGCGTTTGAGAGAGGCGGGGCATAGAGGACCTACAATAATGTACAGTATTTGAAAAATAATGTGTTTTTTGAACATTAAAGCATGTCAACATATTCTGTTACACCAAATACACCAAATAATTATCTTTAAAAAAGCATCATATGACCCCTTTAAAAAGTGTTTTATTGCTGATATGCATTTTTAGCTCATTACTCCAGTCCTTCAGAAATCATTCTAATATGCTGATTTGCTGCTCAAGAAACATTTCTGATTATTATCAATGTTAAAAAGAAGTTGTGCTGCTTCATATTTTTGTGGAAACTGTGATACGTTGTATTTTTCAGGATTCTTTGATGAATAGAACATTCAAACCTTTTGTAAAATTATAAATGTCTTTACTGTCACTTTAATGAATCCTTACTGAATAAAAGTATTAATTTTGACCCCAAACCTTTTGAACATAAAAGTTCAAAACAGTAGTTTTGGTAGTTTTATTATATTACTAGTTTATTTGCTACTAAGTGCCTTAAACAAAACTATGAATATCTACTAAAGATTTGATGCCACTAACCTGACAAACTTTGGTAAATCCAGTGATTTCCTCAATAAATGTCAGAAAATTCTTTCTCTTCCAGCTCCTGGAGCAGGAGAAGCACGAGCTGCGGCGGCGTCTGGAGAGTCGTGAGGGCGAGTGGGAAGGCCAGGTGGCCGAACTGGAGACAGATGTGCAACACCTGCAGGGGGAGCTGGAGAGACATCAGGTGCAGCTGCGTGAGGCCGACCGCGACAAGAGCCGAGCCATCAGCGAGCTGTCAGAACAAAACCATCGACTGCTGCAGCAGATCAGCAGGGTGAGTGAGATGTTCAGGCTGATATGTGACCCTGGAGCACAAAAGCAGTCTTAAGTCACTGGGGTATATTTGTAGCAATAGCCAAATACAGCCATTGTATGGGTCAAAATTATCGATTTTTCTTTTATGCCAAAAATCATTAGGAAATTAAGTAAAGATCATGTTCCATGAAGATATTTTGTAAATTTCCTGTTGTATCTCGGCCAAATATTGTCCTATCATAACAAATTGACCCTTATGACTGGTTTTGTGGTCCAGGGTCACATATGGTTACAGTTTGCAGTGGGTCAGATGAGGCCAAAACAACTAGATGTAGATGGGTTGAGAAGGGTCTGGCTGCAGCTGGCGCTTGCACTCTCAGACGTGTGCAGGTGAGCCCAGAATAAACGCAACACGCACAAATTTGCGTTAAGCGTTTTTCCATATAGAATAAACTGTCTACAGCTCTTTTATATCATTGTCTTTGTCCATTAAGCTACATTAAAAACGTAATCAATAAATAGAACAAAATAAAAAATAATAAAGACTGCAAGTGACGTCGCTAGCGGAAGTGCAAGTGTCTGAGAGTGTAAGCCTGAGAATGCACGTCTGAGAGTGCAAGCGCCAGCTGCAGCCAGAACCTTTTGGATGGGTTTGCCAGAATACAGCTCTGTAAACCTTAGACTTCATGATGAAGGAATGTTTTTTTTGGAAACTTTAAGCCAAATCTGCGACTCGTCCAGTTGCTCTATAGCGGTATTTTTTCTTTATTTTTGGCTGGAGTTTGTTTTTGACTGTTTCTGTATACACTTGTGGTGTCAGAAAAGACAAAGCACATTTATTTATATAGCACATTTTGTGCACAATTCTGCTTTATATAGCCATGATAAATAGAAAGAAAAATAAAATACAAATAAAATGAGCATTTTAAATCATTTAAAAGTCCGCTGAAATGCTTAGAAACACGCAGTATTTCATGGGGACTTTAAGAATAAGAAATTAAAAAATAATAATAAATAGGAAGAAATAAATATTCAATATATGTAATACAATATAATTAAAATAAAATTATATATATATATATTATAATTCAAATGAATTTTAAAAAGTAAAGAAAAAGAAAATAACAACAAAACAAATATAATAATACAAATAATGCAAAATTCTACTTTATATAGTCATGATAAAGAAAAAGAAAATTAAGAATAAACATTTAAAATAATAAAAAAAAGAATAATAAATAATATATGTAATACAATATAAAAATTGATTAAAATCCAGTTAAAAACGAAAGAAAAAGAATAATAAAAAAACTAAATAATAATAAAACAAATAATAAAAAAGGCAAGGCACATTTATTTATATAGCACACTTCATAGTGCAGAATGCTCTATATAGTCATGATAAAGAGAATGAAAAATAAAAGACAAATAAAAATGCACATTTTAAATCAGAAATAAGATAATAAATAATAAATAGAAATAAAAAAATCTTTACTATAAATATATGTAAGCCAATACACAATAACATAAATAAAAAAGGAAAGAAAAATAATAAAATAAATAATAAAAAAGCAAGGTCCTGGGTTTTGATTCCCAAAAGATAAACACTGATAAAAATGCAAATGAATGCTACAAAATAAAAATGCATAGAAAAAAAGAAATATTTAATATATGTAATCCAATATTAAAATGGATTAAATATATAATCTGTCCACCAAATGTAAAATGCCACCATATTATTAGAGGGACGGTCCAGAGTAACATAAGGTTGCCTGATGGTGGCTTATTCCTTATGGAGATCGAACCAGAAACCTTCTGGTTACCAGCCCTGAGCTTTAACTAACGCACCACAAACACAGCCTGCATGGAAGTCATTGCCTAAAACGCACATTGATAAAGCAGTGTGCTCAAGAAAGCCAGAATGAATTATTCCAGTACTTTACACAAACTCATCAAAATTCCACTACGCTCCCGTCCGTTTTCAATAATTCAACAGCTGTGCTGCTCAAAATTATGCAATCTACCTGTCTGACAATCCAGCAGGGCGACCTTGAAGACGTACAGAACATTTTTTTTGTATCTTTGTGTTTGAATTGAAAATCTGTCTGTTTCGCAACTGTTGCACTTGAATGTGTTATGGCCAGCAGACAGAATCTCTTTGATAACATGAATTGTGTGTGAGAACACAATTTTGCAGTTTTTCCTGTGTTACATGGGTCCATTTATGGTACTTTAATACAAAAATGTGTAAATTTATTAACCCAAAAATGTGCCACAGGTCTGTTCTGATAGTGTTGCAGACAGCAAGTCAAGTCAAGTCACCTTCAATTTATTTAGTTATTTTAGTAATTCAACCCAAACGAAACAAAAATGAGAAAAAATATGTTTTGTTTTAGTTATACACTCTAAAAAATGCTGGGTTGTTTCAACCCAAATTTGGGTCAAATATGGAATACCCAACCATTGGGTTACATTTTTACATTATATTTTTAACCCAAACGTTGGGTTAGTCCATATTTGACCCAAAGTTGGGTTGAAACAACCCAGCATTTTTTAGAGTGTAGTTTTAGTCAAAAATAAAAGTTGCTGTTGACATCAAAATCTATGTTATTTTGATGCAGATTCATCTATCACGTGGTAATATAGCTAATAATAATACAACATCAGACTCAGTGTTGTTTGGCTGGTTAGCTTCATCAGTTAGTTAGTAGTTATGTCATAACTAGACCATTCTGCAGGCAAAATGCATCTTTCTCCATTGAGGGATGTTTAAACTGTGAATAACCACTAAATTATTATAGGCCTACATATATATTTAAATTTTTTTTGCATCATGATTTATGCATAACATCATATAAATATTCATATATCTTGATATCAATAAATAGGATTTAATAAACATACTTTTTTTTTTTTTTGCATGGCACTGGCTGAAGTCACTTCTAAACATGATGAAATTCAAAATGATGAATCGCTAATGTTGAATGAAGACCATCATTTCTGAGCAATGATGGGAAATTAGCGTTTATTGATTTGGCAGGAAACTGAGATTCGCAGGTTAAATGCCACATTGAGTTTAGGTTGCGGTTCTGTGTGCGACTCTTGTTCACAGGCGTATTTTAATTCTCATTGAGCATCATTGATTTTGCCCCGGGACGGCTGTGGTGTTGTGGCAATGATGCAGCTGAGGTCAGACAACAATCTCTTCCTGTATCGAAACAGCCCTGTTGCCCTGACAAACCGCTTTGAACTTCAGTCTTAATGACTTTAACATTCAGATTTACGGCAGCTGTCCATAACATGCTTTAAAACTGTCAATCCTAGTCAGTTTCATTCACACACACACACACACACACACACACACATCCTGTCATTAGCACATGTGATGCTATTAATATTCACACACAAATGGAAGAAGAATCGATGGTGATAAACTAATCAAGAGTGGCAGCGCAAGGGCCTCCAGCTGAAGGCAAAAACACCAGCAAAACCAAAACATGTTCTCGGAAAATAATGGACTAATAAATAATGAAATCCTTTTATTTTGATCCACTGGGAACTAAAATAAATAAAAAAGCAAACAGTGCTTTTGACAGACCTATTTAGTTCACTCACATTGGATGAAGACTCGTGTTCCCCTTCATGGTGGACCAGTGTTTTTTTAGTATCATTGATATTATTATTTTTGTTAATACTTTGAATTAGATTTTTTTTTGTAGATTTTCTGTTTTCATTTTAATTTTAGTTTAAATTTTTGTAATTTTGTTGTCCATTTTTGGCATTTTTATTAGTTTGTTTTTTCAGTTTTTATTAAATTGTAATTTTGTTTTTGTTTGTTTAGTTTTAGTTATTTTAGTACTTCAACTTAAACTAAATAAAAAAAAAAAAATGGTGCTTTGGAAACTAGCTGAAATAATAATAATAATAATAATATATTATAATATATTTTCCATTTTCATTTTTTTTTTATATTTTCCATTTTCATTTTAGTTTTTTGTGAATGCATTTTTTTTTCCCGTTTTAGTTATTATTAATTATTTTTGTACTCCAACTATAAATGAAAATTAGAAATGTTGCTTTTAAAACTAACTGAATGAAATAATTTTTATGTTTATTTTACATAAACAAAAATGTTTTTTTTTAAATACTTACCGAAAATAATCCTACCAATTTCAAAATACACCACATTTTAATTGGCTGTCAATTGAGAAAGATGCTTTTTGTTATCTAAATGGTATAGTTACAACATCTACCATCTAACTACTAGAACAAACTAGTCACATCTTGACCACATGGTCATATGGCTGGTTAACTTTTAATTTTTTTAAGTAATTAAGCTAGTCGGTTGCTGACGGTGATGTTCTCGAAAGCAAGAAAGAGGCTCTGAATATGAGATAACTAGTTGGGGTTGACAAATCTGCTAATGGATCTAGACCTGCAGACTCAGATGACCTTCCTTCTGTGGGACAAGCGAAGTGACATAAGCCAGAGAGACACATGGATGAATTCAGGTGGGATTAGGCTTTAATCCAGATCCTCTTTAACAGCAACATTACGTCCAGCCGACTGAAACCGAGCAAGAGAGGACAACAAGAACTGTGTGATGACTTGCATATACAGCAACAACCTGAAGAAAAGAAAATCACAAATGAGATCTCATTAATATATTGGTTGTTTCTTCAAGACAGTGTTGAGATTAATTAGGAGAAAACAGAATCTCCTGCTCCTTCTTCTGAGAAAAATCCTGAAGAAGAGTTTCAGAAGAGATATAAAAATGTCTTAAACTGCATACATTTTTCTCAATATGACATTATAGTTCTATATTTTTAATATATGCAACAATTGCATTTTTATTTCTCTCAATGGTCTTTTAGGAGAAACATCTGAGACAAAGTTGACATAAATAAAACATTAGAGCAATCGAATTTTCTTCTGGAGAGACAGTGACTATGGCAAGCCGTTTTATCTATAAAACGTACTAGTATATATTTTCATGCTACTAATACCTATTCCATTAAG